CAGACTTATAGCTCCAAAATGTTTGGAACTATAACTTTTCCCAGAGCTCACCACGACCGCGAACGACCGTTGACCAGACTTATAGTTCCTAAATTTTCGGAACTATAACTTTTCCGGAGTCGCCACGACCGCGAACGACCGTTGACGGGACTTATAGTTCCCAAATCTTCGGAACTATTTTTCCCAGAGCCCGCCACGACCGTAAACGTTGGTCGACCAGACTTTGTAGTTCCAAAATCTTCGGAACTATAACCTTTCCCGGGGACATGTGCGACCGCGAACAACCGTGGGCCAGACTTAAAGTTCCCAAGTTGTTCTACAACACTACAGCCTGTAATGAACTTCACAGCAAACAGTTGTGTTTATTCACTCGAAATATCTCAAAATTATATACAGTATTGTTTCTGGTCTTTGGGTCTTTGGATGTTGTTTTTTTCTCCGTGCAGGGAACACCACCCAGCATGAAGAGCTAGCATCCGCATTTTGCTGTATTTTGTTTACTGTGCTCTCCCACTGTTTTTTTAGCCAGATCGTCTATGGTTGGCTGTCCGGCGATGTAGCACTTGAAAACAAAAAAAGTCAGGAATCAGGAGTCTCTCCTTTTCATTATATATATCAACCACCACCCAAAATGTGTAGCTAGGATCTGCATTTTGAGGTATGTTGTTTGTACACACAGTGCGATTTAACACACATAGCTTCAATTCTGACATTATGCTAGTTTGATGTCTGAATCATAGATTTCCCCTTCCAAAAAAGTTATGTTCCCGTTTTCACCTGAACCGACCCTGAGTTGTGAAAATTGCCAGTACTATTGGTGGTTTCCTTCAATTCTTTAGTTGCCAATGAAATCAAAAAATACCAGGACCCTCCAAGGGGTGCCCAATGGAAGCCTATAGGTAGTGTGGGGTAGTCCATTGGACGCCCCTTGGAGGGTCCAGGTATATGGTGTCATGTCCTTTACAAATGTGGGCTGGAACTCTCCCGTCTCCTTTGGATCTGTCTGATTTAACAAATCATCCGACATTTTTTGTGAATTGTGCCAAGGAAGATTTGACCTGCAAAAGCTTAGGCGCGAATTCACCAGAAACATCGGGGTTCGATGCTGGGGACTGTGTATAGGAGGCGATGCACGACCGGGTGGAACCAATCCATGGATATTCCCTCTATTCATCAACCAAACAATATCACCCAATACCCAAACACTCACTGAATAGAGGGGTAAGTGGGGCGGCCAGTCCAACGGAGTGTCTTGTAATGGTCAAAGGGTCAAGGCCACCTATGGTTTGACTCTTGATTTAGAAAACATTTGAATTGCAAACCCTCTTCATATGGATATGGAGGGGTCGGACCCTGATATGAAGGGGTCTGGGGTCTCAAATCCCCAGGTTTTGAGGGACCAAAGGCTGTTTGGAGCGTCTGGCTGTCTATATTAACTATATATAAGAGTCATCAATTGTCATAAGAGTCTACACCCATGGCTTGGAAGTGGCGCTTCAATGACGTTCCAACGACGCTTTGGTTGTAGGCTCCGCAACATGCTTTTCAAACGTTCATGTTGTTTGTTCGATTGTGTTTATTCACGTGTTTTCCGTTCAATGTTATTTTTTGTCCCTACACCTCCAAGTACCTCCTCAGAAGGAAATTGGACCCTCCTGGCACCCACCCCAGTCCCACCTTCTCAGAAGGTACGACTGGAGGCCTAGGGTGCGTGTGTGTGTGTGTGTGTGTGTTATAACACCTGTTTCTAAGGCTTTACCTGGTAATTTTACCGTCGGTTCCACTCGAAGGCTGGGTGCTACTAGTAGTTTCTGGCCTTACTACTAGGACCAAAACAAGCAGGGGGCCACAGACCTGCCACTGCTGCTGTGGCCAACGAAGACCGACGTGAAAACGTACCTGCAAAACTGGCTAAAACTGTTTAAAGCGGCTAGTGCATAGGCGGTCTGCGAGGTATTCAGTACAACGGCTAATGCATAGGCGGTCTGTTAGGTATTCAGTAAAGCGGCTTATGCATACGCGGTCTGCCAGGTATTCAGTAAAGCGGCTAATGCATAGGCGGTCTGCTAGGTATTC